GGATCTGTGGATCTGAGCCTGGAGCTTAGAAAAATGTATCTGTGCTTCATCTGAAGGTTTCCTTTGAGTAATGAGGTTTAGGGGTTTGGCCCTTGTGTACGGCAAATGGATCCACCAGAACGCGGTGGAAATTAATCCCCAGAGACTCACACTTGTTTGGAAATGAAGTTTTCCGCTCTCCGCCCTAGGAGAGGTTGTGATTGTCCCCTTTCCCCCACCAAAATCCGCAAAAAATGTATCTGTGCTTCATCTGAAGGTTTCCTTTGAGTAATGAGGTTTAGGGGTTTGGCCCTTGTGTACGGCAAATGGATCCACCAGAACGCGGTGGAAATTAATCCCCAGAGACTCACACTTGTTTGGAAATGAAGTTTTCCGCTCTCCGCCCTAGGAGAGGTTGTGATTGTCCCCTTTCCCCCACCAAAATCCGCAAGCAGCCTGTGACTCGGACGAGTAGGATGGAGCGGTCCTGGCTGGAGGGATCCGCATGGGGAGGGCACTTCCCCTGCTGCCGCTGGCTGACAGCTCTGGTGCTGTCCCCGAGCTGAAGTCCCCATTGCAATGGATCCGCGGACCTTAGCAGAGAGGAGAAGAAAGGAAGCCTGGAGGTAAGCACAGATGCATTTTCTTATTCTCCTCCTCACGCTGCAGGCTGGGAGGTGCTCCTCACCTGAGCAGAGTGTGCTCCTGCAGTCCGCTCATGTTCCCAGGGCCCAGACAAGGTGAGCGGTGCAGATGTGTGAGAGCATCTTCTTAAGCCTCTCTTTCCACTACCCGTCATCCCCAGCAGCGAAGGAAGGTTGGTGGGCGAAGGTTTGAGAGTCTCTCTCCTGCGAGGGCAAAGGAAACGTTCTGATCCTCTTGCAGATGCTGCCATTTCGAAGCCTGACCTCCTGTCACGGATTGAGCAAGGAGAGGATCCCAACGCGGAGGATCCGGATGACTCTGAGGGAGGAGAAACCCCTACAGACCCCAGCACCGGTGAGCCATAAGGTTCCTAGGACTCAGTGGGGAGGTAGAAAGCAAACATGGCTGCCTCCGCCCACCCACGCCTCTCCGCTTTTCTCTGCTGTTGAGTTTTGCCAGCTCTGTCCTTGGGTACAGGGGTGACTTTGCTTTCGTAGTCGGTTCTTACCCGATGCGGCCGCGTCTCCTGAAATCCTCTGTAACGCAGCTGGGAGGCCTGAGTGTAAACTCCTGTTGTTCTTTCTCCTGTGCACAGAGTTTTCCTTTCCTGGTCCCGATGACAGCTCGTGGAGTAAATACGAAGAGACTCTGGCTGAAAGCCACGAGGGCTCTGAAGAAGAGGAAAGCATGGAGGTCCCTAGTACATGTAAGTTAGAAGCGCAGAGCTTCGCCGAGCGCTGCACGGAGGGGGAGATAGAGGCGGGCTCGGGCTCTTGGCACTTGCTGGGGATTGCCGGGGGTGAGATCCTGCCTTCGCCGTGGTCTCTGCCAGGCTTGTCTCAAGGGTCAGCGTGGGAGCTGGATGGCAGCCGAGGCAGATGGATAGCACACGTGCAGAAGCAGCTGCGGTACCCGAGCAGCAGGCTGTAAAAGCAGCTGTGGGCTGGCTAGGGGGTGCAGGTCACCTGTACGGTGTCGCGTCCCTCAGTGAGATAGTGGTTTTGGTCAGCCTTGGAGCGGAGATGAGCAGGAGCGTGCGTAGGACAGGCAAGCTTTGATGGTGTGAGCAAGAAAGTTCTTAAAAGTCTTTTCACGAATATGTAAAGTGATGTTTCTCACAGCTTTCTCTGTCAGCCAAACGTGAGCTTTCTTGTGGCACAGCAAAAGGCATGTCCTTGTCACCGCCCTGTCACTTCAGGTCCCTGCTCTGAAGCATGGGGACACGTGAGCCGCTTTGGGTGGCTTATCTTACTAGGCTGTGCCTTTGGCTTCCCAGCCTCGTTCTCAGAAGCAGCTCAACTGTTCTGGCTGATGCTTTTCCAGAATTTCAGCCTGATGCAAACAAAGCGGCCCTTTTTCAAGCCGCACATTTAGATGTCTGGCAAAGTGACAAGCAGATGAAGAGCCCTATGACAGGGAGTGCCGAGTGGTCTTCTCTGGGCACGCAAATGCTCGGCACAGCTTTACCTTCTCGTGGTCTGCAGAAACCTGTGGTTTTTTCAGCCCTCTTCTCCACATCCCCAGGCCCTCTGGGCTCTTTTCATCCTCCGTTTGCTAGGGTCCTTGGCGGTTGCTTTGAGTTACCACTTACACCATGGGAGATCCTTCAGCCCCAGGCACTGTACAGGCCCAGAAGGAAAAGAGGTTTTATTCCCCTTCCCTCAATTTTTTTTTGCCTTTATCCTAAACCACATGTTCTCAAAGACCTGTTCCGCTTCACCTCCTGCTGAGGAACCCACCTTTTCCCTTTGTCTAGTTATATATAGAAATCTCACCATTGTACTGTCTGAGCTTTCCCAAGAAGTCTTTATCAATGATCTGGACGAGGGCATCAAGCGCACCCTCAGTAAGTTTGCAGA